TTTCTGTCCCTCTCTTTCCATGTCTCTGTTTTTCCCTGTCTCTCCATGCATCTCTATCTCAGCCTCTGTGTCTGTCTGTCTGTCTGCTTTCCTGTTTCTCTGTGTCTGTCCCAGGCTCTGTTTCTCCCTCTGTCTCTGTCTCCAGTATCCGCCCGCCCCTCCGCCTGCCCCCCTCTGCGTGGGGCTGAGCCCCGCACACTCACCGCCCTATGTGGGACACCTTTATGCGGCTGTCAGGCACCAGCTCCTTCCCGTTCTTCAGCCACACGCCCCGCACATTCTCATCGGACACCTCACACTTGAACACCGCCTGGTCCTTCGCGCCCACCGTCAGGTCTGCAATGCTCTGGTACACCTCTAGCTTCTTCTCTGGGGGGCAGGACAGAGCCAGTGAGCTGGGGAGCGGGTGTGGGGCTGTGGGCTCCAATCCCCATGGAGATCACGTGGGTGTGAAAACACATGTGCATGCACGAGTGTGAGGCACGTGGGCCTGTGATGGTGCAGGGTGCACAAGGAACTTCAAGTGCTTGGGGTTGGGAGTGGGGGTGGGGGACACTAACTGGCCCCTTGGCCCCTCCCAGGACTCTCTGAGGCGGCCACCTCAGCATCTCTATGTTACAGACAAGAAAAGTGAGGCTCGGTGTGTCAGAGTGACTTGCCCAAGGTCACATGGGCCTCCATTCTGGGTCAACCTAGCTCCCATATAAGACCCGGGGTGGTGCTGGGGCCCAGCCTGCCCAAAGCCATCCCCCTGCTGGGCCTCACCCTGCACGATGAGCTCGGCCAGCGCCTGGCCGCCACTGGTGCGCAGCGCATAGTGCCCGGCGTCCTCCAGCGTCGCCTCGTTGATGATCAAGTGGTGTCTCTGGCCATCCTTCTTGAACCGGTATTTGAAGGTCTCCTCCCTGGTCAGCTCCACCCCATCCTTCAGCCTAGCCAGTGGGCAGGCTGTAAGTGCTGGGGCCGCGCAGTCGGGGTGCCCACAGGCCCCCCCAGCCCTGCCCACGCCCCATGAGCCCAGCACTCACCATTTGACCTGGGCCCCCTCCTCAGACACCTCACACTCAAACTCCACCCGCTGTCCCACCATCACCAGCTGGTCTTCCAGGGGCCGAGTGATCAGCACGGGGGGCTCTGTCAAGGAGGGTGCACGTGAGGTCCTCTGCCCCTGCCCCCCAGGCTCGGGGCTCCCAGGGTCCCGGTCCAGGCCCACCTTTAACGAAGAGCTCGGTGCTGCACTTCTCCCCGCCCACCACGCACTGGTAGGCCGCGTCGTCCGCCAGCGAGCACTGGCTGATGGTCAGCGTGCGCTTGGCCCCGACGGACTCAAAGATGTACCTGCGCGGGCGCCGCGGGAGGGTGCAGGAAGGGACATTACTCACCTCCTCAGCCCTGGGGGCCCCGTCCGACCCCCGAGGGGACCCCGTGCCCCCACCCAAGCCTTCCCTCCGGCAGCTGGGCCTTACTTGCTGTGGAGCCGAAGGGGCCGTGGGAGCGTCCGGATGAGAGGAAGCGAGCCGAAGAGAAAAAGCAAGAACAGAGACAGGCAGAAAGATGGGAAACGACCAGAAAGAGGGGAGTGGGGGTGGGGGAGACAGGGCAGGGACCGGTCTCGGTAGAGAACATGGGTGGCGGGAGGCAGGGAGAGCGGGCTGGGGAGCCTCCAGGCCCCCCTCCCCGCCCGCCCCCCCCCAGTGCACCTGCCGCTCATCTGGATCTCCTGTCCATTCTTAAGCCACTTGACATCGGCGTCGGGGTCGGCCAGCTCCACGGTCAGCCGGATCTTGTGGCCCTTGCTCACCTGGTAGGCCGGCTCCAGCTTCTTCTGAAAGGCTGAGCACCACCATCATGGCCCTCCCAACCCCTGCTCCCCCCAACCCCTTCACACCCACTGTGGTGGCTGGTGGCTGTGCCCCAGAGCCACGTCCTCCCACCACACTCCTCCTGCCACCCCTTTCTCTCTCCGCGTCCACTCTGCCTGTCTCCTCTCTCTCTCTCTCTCTCTCTCTCTCTGTTCTGCATGCCTGTCTGCTTCTATCTCTTTGTCCTTCTGCCTTCCTTGGGGTCCCCTCCACCTGCTCGGCTCGGCGTTAGGCTTAGTGGCTCCCAAAGAGACAAAAGCTTGGCTGGAGACCAGTGAAGGGGGCGGCGC